CTATATTTCAGGTTAAGAACATAATGTACTCAAGGCAAAAGAGCACATTTATTTATTCTGTTGTCAAACAGAAGGCATAAAATGCTTACGGAGGGGAATAATATGATACCATTTGAATGGCAGAAGAGGAACTGAAGTATCTGGAAGATAGCCTAGAAAGGGAGAGAGACCAAAGGCAGAGGAACCAATTAGGAAAGTATTCATATTGTCTGTTCAGGTAATACATGATGAGGACTAAATTTGGGTAGAAGTAGCTGAATTGAAAAATCTTGTTCTTTTTTATAAGTAGCAACACAGACTGACCTCGGTGACCGGATTGATGGTGGTGGAACATAGCTAAGGAAGGCAGGTAAAGGAAGAATGTGTAGAAAATGACTTTTTATAGATTGGGAAATTGGAAGAGATGTTCCAAAGGTTGATCATGATTTCAGATTGGGCTCTATTTTTATTTACAATTTTATCCAGAAGATGCTCAGGTGGGAGGTCTGGGCTGGAAATCTTAAGAGTTGTCAAAATAGCAGAAGCCAAAGAATGGAAGGAGTGCCCAGGGAGAGTGAAGAAGGGTGAAGGGGATGGAGAATCTTGAGGAAAACCTTGATGTGATATACTGAGGATACCTTACCTATATGGTAATCTGGCATAAAACATTTAACCTGAACCCAATCACTTGGATTCAAGCAGACAAATTCAAATTGGGGGACATTCTACAAAACATCTAGCCTGACCTCTTCTAATATATCAATGTCATGAAAGATTTAAAGAGGCTGGGAAAGTGCTTCAGATTAAAGGAGACTACAGGGACATAACAAAATGCAAAGCTGTGCCTTCATTGATCCTGAATGAAAAATATCACTATAAAGAATATTAATTGGCAGAATTGGAGGTATTTGAAGTTCTACATTAGATAACAGTATTGTTCTTTTTTGAGTGTAATAACTGTGCTTATGTAAGAATATCTTTCATTTTAGAAGACACATGTTCAAGTGTTTCGGGGTGAAGTGTTATGTATGAAACATAACCACTGAGTGGATCAGTGAAAAAAATCAACAAACTGTATATACACATGAATATGATTAAATATGCACATAAAATATAAGCACATACAGTATATAAAGATACATTAAAATACAGATATACATGTTAATCTAAATATATGCAATCCATTTAACACATGAATGTAAAAGTACATAAATAGATATAAAGCAAATGTGGCAAACTGTTGAATTAATTGAAATTTTGCCGTAAGTTTGAAATTGTTCTAAATAAAAAGCTAGGGAGCCATTATGTCATAAACCTCAAATGTACATGATAAATTTTATTTTTTAAAAAGCAAAGGAACAGTTTACTTTTTAAATAAACAAAATATAAAATGCTTCAAAAAACAGTAATCTGGTGGAAAGTTAGGAGTCATCAGAGATAAGGAGTTGTTCGGACATCATAGATTTGTGTATGGAGCCCCTGAGAGCCAATAAAGGATAAACATTGTTAATTTCCATTTTGTTCTGTATTTGCTTCCTCCAATAGAATGTAAGTTTCATTAGCACATTGTCTCAGTAAGAACTGTACAGAACACAAATGGTACATAGAGACTCAGTGATAAGTATTTCATGGCTTGAGGAAATATGTTGACTCTTTAGACACATCACCTAGTATGACTTGTCTCATGTATCACTTAAAAGAAAATCAGTCGTCGGGGATGTATATTTAAAGAATGCAGCTCTATCCAGAATGTGGTTCAGCAAATCCCAGCCTTGTATCTCAAACCTTCAAAGCACGAGGATACACATTGCATTTATTTAAACACCTGTGTGCATCCTTCAAGAAGACGGTAAGGTTTTTTCCCTTTTTAAATGAAGTTAGCTTATGCAGTTTGATATGGTTTGGTTCTGTGTCCCCACCCAAATCTCATGTTGAATTTGTAATCCCCATGTGCTGTGGGAGGGATCCGGTGGGAGGTGATTGGATCATGGGGGCGGTTTCCCCCATGCTGTTCTCATGATAGTGAGTTCGTGTAAGATCTGATGGTTTAAAAGTGTGGCAGTTCCCCCCTTGTTGTCTCTCTCCTGCCGCTATGTAGCACTGGCCTTGCTTCCCCTTCACCTTCCCCCATGATTGTAAGTTTCCTGAGGCCTCCCCAGCCATGTGGAATTGAGGCAATAAACTTCTTTTCTTCATAAATTACCCAGTCTCAGGTAGTTCTTTATAGCCATGTGAAAACAGACTAATACACAGTTCAAGAAAAAGTACCTTTGAATTCAGTCTTTTCTTTCAGAGGACAAATTTAACCACACAGCTTATCCATTTTATACCAGCAAGTTATCTCTTAGCTTAACTCAGCCATTGGAATATAGCACTTTTGTCCTGGTATCCAGTTCTATCATGATCTTTTTAGCTCCACAGATCATCAGGTCCACATCCTAATGTGCATTTTAATTTGGGTGCTTTAATGGGTATGCTGCCTAATCCCCATTGTTAACAACCTAAATAATCAATGCTTCTAAGCACCCAGGGCTCTGAATCTCACCACTAAAATATTTGACTTAGTTTCATATGCTTTACTTAAAAATGGGGGAAAATCCTGAAGTAGGAAAAAAACAAGAGGTACCAAAGCTCAGTTGTTTTCAGAATTTACCGACTTTGCAAATGCATACAATAGTTTTTCATGTAGTGTGTTACCATTTACAATCCCAACAGTTTATTAGCTATAGTTAGATCTCAGGTGGAGAGAGAGAATGTGACACAGAGGTTGCCTTAAATCATGGAGCTGTAGTAAATTCAGGAAAACAACCTCAAACATATCCTTTTCCTTCTCAAAAAAATCAAAACCTGGCTTTCCTACAAGGTTTGGCTTCTCCAGAGGAGGATGTGCCTCTTCCCACTGCTCCAGGTTCTTGAACTTCATCTCATTTATTTCAACCACCCTGTCTCTTTCCTCAGAAATGCTCACCTCCTCAGAGCCCTCATCCATCTTCTTCAACATCTTTTCCATCCTGATCTACCACTGTCATCATGATAAGGACTTCACCCCTCTGCTGATAAGCTCTGCAACGTTGGTCTCATCAACTCCATGAACTGCACTCCTTACCCGTCAGTGATCTCCAAGTAAAATCTTCAGCAGCTCACTGGGAGGCACCATCTTAGATGTATAAATTGCTTGAAAGTATTTTACTTCCATGATATCCAACTTTTGAATTTTCCTGACTCTGATCTCCAGATTTTTCACCATAAAACTCACCCACACCCTTGACTTTTCCTTTCTGTCCTATCCATTTTGGTTAAGGCACTTTGCCTCTCTTTATTCTACCCTCACGGAGGAGCTCAAGTATGAAATGAATTCCTGAACGCACCATCATATCAGGCAATAGAGCTGTAAGTGTACAGAATCAATAAGTCACAGGTCTTTTCTATTCCGTGAGGTAAGATTGAGAGGACCAAGTATAACCAGTTTAGGACCCAGGGAAAAGTAAGGATACAGGATGGAGCTGACTCACACTGGGCCTTTACAGAGAAAGAGAAGTGAGGGAGGGGGACCAAGTATTTGTGGCCTTCATAAAACCCTCTGTTGTCTAGCCAGACACAGCAGGAAAAACCAATGAGCAGCTGGCTAGCAACCCCTCTCCTAGCCATTCATTACCACTGTAAAATGCCCTACTCTCGTTTTGACCTTTGATCATTTATGTCTTATCAGTTCCACCTTTCTTAGAACCTAGTCCTAGGCAGAGAACATTGCTAAGAATGAGAACAGACCATGTTGACCATTTCCTCAACAAATTCATCCAACTTCCGCCAAAGGCTTCCTTCTTACTTGGTAATGTTTCAAAATTGTCTTCACTTTCCTTAATCCTCATTCATTTTAAGATTACCTAGTCTTTCATTTCATTGAAACAACAGAAGTTTTCCACCTTCCCTTCTCTTAGCCTAAAATGGTTTCTCAAAATTACCCAATGCATTTATAGTGACCCAATGGACTGTGATTTATTTTAATTTCCATTGAGCTCTCTTTAGCATTTCACCTTGTCATCACATCTTCCTTGAACCTCCCTACTTACCCATCCTTTACTATTCCATCACCCAAATGGAGGTCTTCCCCAAGGCACTGGATCGAAGCACCTGTTACAGATTTTATAGATTTCTCATCTCACACCCTTCAGCAATCAATTCTATGAAACTCATTCTCAAGTCTTTCTAGTCTGCCCTCTTACTTCAGGTATAGATCTGTATCTTAATTTCTTTTGGGACATGACTTAGAAGACCTGTCAATTTCTCAAACACATTATGTCCACAATCAAGTTTCACTATCTTCTTCCAACCAAATCCTCTCCCTTCATTCCTCTCTGTAAAATTTGCAGTCAGTCCCCAGACCCTGGGAACTTTTTTTTTTTTTTTTTTTGGAGACAGAGTCTCGCTCTGTCGCCCAGGCTGGAGTGCAGTGATGCCATCTTGGCTCACTGCAACCTCCACCTTCTGGGCTCAAGTGATTGTCCTGCCTCAGCCTCCTGAGTAGCTGGGACTACAGGCGCATGCCACCATGCCTGGCTAATTTTTGTATTTTTAGTAGAGACAGGGTTTCACCATATTGGCTGGGCTGTTCTTCAACTCCTAACCTTGTGATCTGCCCACCGCACCCTCCCAAAGTGCTGGGATTACAGGCGTGAGCCTCCACGCCCGGTCCCCTGGCAAGTCTATTTTTATAGAATAGTGTCACAGTCCTCTCCTCCCACATCTCTCAAGTGCAGGCCCTCAGAACTCACGAATCTTGGCCTTGGCAACTGCCTCCTAACTGGTCTTCTCACCTATACTAGTTTTCTGTGGGCCAGATAGAGCTGCCAGAATACATCTTTTTAGAATTTTCTTTTTAGATTTTTTTCACCTGGTATATGATTTTCAGTGGCCCCCGATACCAAAATGAGTCAAACACCTATGGCCAAACATTTATGTCACTATAATGTGACTCTACCTTTCTTCAGATAACAAAATCTGAGAGTAGCTAAGACACTTACCCATGGAGTCCGAAGTTTGACTGCCAACCACTCGGAGCAGCATAGGCTGACTGCTGTCGGACCTCTGGAGAGAAGTAGAAGGAGAGGACACCGTTGTGCCATTCACTTTCGCCTCTGCCTGGGGCTAAGTCATCCAAAAGAAAACAGAATTACTTTTCACAATAAACATACAAATGTATAAATATGAAAATATTAAAGACACTCAGGACTCATAAATTTTGACCCTTCCTACTTTAGAAGCCCTCCCAAAGATTAATTTGGGATATTTCACTGTTGATATAATCCATGGATACTGTCTTTGTATCTGAACTGTGCTCCCTTATAAATTTGAGAAAAAATTAGAGCTACACTGGAATGAGACTATAAATCATTACATTAAATAACTGGAAGATTTAGAAGGTCATGTGAGAATGATGACACTATGTGAGAACTCAAAACTGTAGTGGAAAATTCGTATCTTTGTGAAGTATTAAGTAACAAGATAGAACATAATTCACAATGTAAAATTCCCAGAAAGCCAGAACTATGTCCAGGTAGGTCTTCTGGCGATGCAGTATCTTGCTAGGTTTTCAACGGAGGCTTAAAGAACTAAATGTTAGGGATTAGGAGAAAAAAACACAAAGGTATACCAGAAAATATAACTAATTGCAAATGAAATAGTTCCATTTCAAGAAGTGAAATATTCACTTTTAGAGAACTAGTGGAAACCTTTTGGCGTTTTTTTCCCCCAAGATGTATTTCAAATTGGTCAAGAAAAAAACACTTTGGTAGGAAACAATATTTAACAAACATAAAAAAGACACACTAGTTTTTCTATCTCCTCTACTTTTATCCTTTGATACCTATCACTTTGCCAGGCACATACCAAGCACTTAAGAATTGACGCTTGTTACACCTACAAAAAGTGCTCTCTGTGGTTTAGTTTTGTTCAAGAGGGAAAATGAATGTTTGTAAAAATCCCATCTCTCTCCTCACTTGCTCCAGCAGCTGCCTTAGCCTATGTAACTGTGACTCCAGCTGTTTATTGTGGTCTTCCAGGATTTGCATCCTGGCTTCCAGGCGGCCTTTGTGTTGACGGAGTAGCTTGGCCTCAGCAATGAGCTCAGCATCCCGGGGACTCTGGGGAGAGGTGGGCATCATTTCAGGAGGGGACGGCAGTGGGGACAGGCCTTTATGTTCGTGCTGCTGCTTTAGACGGTCATATTCTGCTTGCAGATTCCTATTGGCATCAAAGAAGTCAAAAAGAAAAAAAAAAAGAAAAAGAAGAAAAAAAGTAATTTGAATATCATCACCAAATTTTATATACCATGGTAGATAGATGCATCTGACTGCCACCAAAGAACAGCAAGCAAAAGAGAGGCACTAATGAATGGTTTTAATGATGACAATCTTACCAGTGCTAAAAGAACAAAACAAAATGTGGAGCTTTTGCCTGGTGTGTGAAGGGAGCCATGCTTTTCAATTTTTTTATGTTATGCTAAAAGCCTCATGAGTGCTATGTTCAGATAAGTAAGCAATAAAGGATTTAATCACTTTGTAAGTATTTCTTTATAATGTCATGAGATTAAAAATTTTATACCTCTACAACACTTTGGTTTGCTTTAAACATTAGCAAATATTTTCAACAGAAATGTATAAGAATGGAGTACATATAACCATGTTCCTACCACCTCGCCTTGATAAGTTTATCATTTGCCGTATTTTCTTCAAAAGTTTTTTGAAGAAAGAAAGGATAACAGCCAAAGCAGAAGCTCCCTCACATGCCCGCCTCAACGCCATACCATTCTCTCCTCCCCACTGCCCTCAAGGACATAATGCCACACTGAATTTCATGCCCAGTGTTACCATGAATGTATAGACAAATATTAGGTTGAACTTAAAGATGCTGATGTTTGCCTGCATTTTTCTTTCACCTACAGAACCACCCATTTTATGTGATTCAATCTAATGGCATTATTTTGCACGTTCTTAAACTTTAAATTTAAGAACTTCATGTTTAAGAATATACATACCATTCTAAGAGTTGCTTTTTGCCTTCAACACCATTTTGGAGATTTCTCCAGGTCGACACATAATAGTTTGCTATTTGAACTGCTGTAAGGTATTACTATTCTGTTGCTTGAATATGCCAACATTTTCCTGTCCATGGACATTTAGGTTGTTTATAACTTTTCACTGTTATAAACAATGATGCAATGAACTTCTTTTATATACCTGTCTCCTTGGATACCTGTTTAAGAGATTCTTTACAGAATATAGTTTGATGTGGAATTGTTGGATCTTAGCAACATCTTCAACATTGCTACGTGTCACTGAATTGCTCTGGGTGCCAAATCGGTGGTTTTACCAATTTACTCTCTTTTCAGTAGTGAATAAGGTTTTCCATTTGACCCACCTCCTCATCAAATACTTGGTGTTATCAGACATTTAAGTTTTAGCTAACCTGATGGGTGCATTTTAATTTGCACATACATCTCTGATTACTGGTGAGGTTAAACTTCTTCCATGTTAACTGGCTTTTCATGCTTCCTTTACCCATTTTCCTGCTGGATTGTCTTTTTCTTATTAAAGTTTTGGATATGTTCTAGATGCTAATCCACTGTTAGTTATGTGCATGGCAAATATGATCTCCTACCCTTATCTTAGTGTAGCTTATCTTTAACTTTGTTTATGGCATCCTATGGTATAAAATATGTACATTTTAACATATCCCTCTATGTTCTCTGCTTTTGATGTTTTGTTCACGAAAATCTTTTCTTACACCTACATTTTTAAAGTTTAAAATTTGGTTTTTCACATTTAGGACTTTACTCAGAATCAATTTTGATGCTTGCTGTGAACATGCGATCTAATTTTACTTTTCCCCCATGGATAAACTATGAAGCCAATCTCATTCATTGTATAGTCCCTCTATTTCCCCCTGATTTCTAACGATGCCTCTGCAAAACATCAAGTGTCCATAAATACTCAGAGCTCTCTATTGTAGTCTGTGGTTCTATCTGTATATCCCTGTGTAGATCCCACTCTCCAATTTTAAATCAATTGATGTCTGATAGGCCTTCTCAGCCCACTTTGGTTTTCCTCAAAATTGTCTTGACTATTCTGACCCCTTTAATCTTCTCCATGATTTTAGTGTCTATTTTTCTGATTTTTATGAAAATGCTTGTTGAAATTTTGAGTTTGAATTACACTGAATTCATAGGTTAAACTGGGAAGAACTAAGTTCATAATAATTGAGTCTTCACATCCAAGAATGCAGTGAAGCTCCTTACTTACTGTGGTCTCATTTTATGTCCATTAATAATGTTTTACTTGTCACTCTTTTTTTTCCTTCTTGCTTTACAGGTTGGATGATTAAGTCATTTATTTTTTATTTTTAATGAACACACGTAGGGTTATATATTTCTTCCTTGGTACTGCTTTAATTATATACCAAAAGTTTTTATATACATCAATTGATTCAATTCAGTGCCTTATGTTTTGTAATTCTTACGGTGATTTTTTTTTTTTAACTTAACACATAGTCCATTAGGAGCACAGTGGTTATATTTCCATTTCCACTTCTTAGTGCATTTCTAATTTAATTGCATTTCAATCAGAGAATACCTGTATGATACTGATCCTTTGAAATTTAGCAATACTGCTTTTTGTGACCTAGTTCATAGTCACTTTCTAAAAATGTTCACTGAGTACTTGAAACAATGCGTATTTTTCCATTGGAAAGACGGAGTCTCTAAATACATAGTGTGCTGCTTTTGTTTAACGTTAAAGTTGTCTATATCTTTACTAATTTTTGATTATTTGTAGCTATCAATTTTTGTTAGAGGAGTGTTGAAATATAATTATGGATTTGTTAGTTTCTCCTTTTAATTCTATCACAATTCACTTTTTATATTTCTGGACCTATGTAGTTAGATGCACAAAAGATCCTGACTGTTCTTGTACTGTTTCTATGTAGTATACTATTTGTTCCTAATAATGTTTATTGCCATAAATTTTGTTCCATTTAAAGGTTTCTATGGCTATTCCACTTTCTTTTGGTTATATTTGGTTAATGTCCAAATAAATATAAATAGTATTAGCATATGTGAAGGTCCCAAATGCTTTAGGATTTACTGAGAATACAATTCCAATTGAGGACACTTCTGATATTTGATACCCAGTGACTGATTACAACTCTTGACATCCTCCTTCTGGTTGTGACAAATACCAAAATAAGATGACATATTTCTGTTGTTCACAGATGATATTTCATCAGGTGAGAGAAATTCCTATTCACAAATGTGGGAGATCTATATCAATGAGAAAAGACACGAAATGTAAGTAGTGAGTAGCCAAGAAGAGTTTTCCCATTGTCCAGTTTGAGAAAGCAAGATCACCTCATGACCAGGTCTCCTAAGTATTTTCTGTTGTCCCATACTCAGAATGAACATTCCACAGGGGACGGCATGTCTTCCAAAATGCTCAGTTTCAAAAGGCTGGATCTCCACACTGAAGCAGAAATAAAACCCAATCTTCTCTTGTTTTTTCCTTTGTTTTGCTTCATTTTTTTTCATTCTACCCAGTACCTAACATTACAAGGTTTCCAGGAATTTAAAGTCATGCAGAAAATCAATGTATGATCTTTTTCATCTACAGAAATAGAATCTCCTATCTGTACTGATTGAAATCCTATTGCTATCAGTCTTCAAGGGTAGTTGTTTGTATAGTTTATTTCATAGCAATCTGATCTGACAAAGCAATGATGAGAAGAGATTCATCAAAGTAAGTATACCTTCAGTCAGATTCTGCACACGGGTCCTCTGGGTGTGCACCAATGTATGTAACTGTCCACATTAATTAAATCTAATTTCTGACAACTGGCAATCGGTTCAATGTTTCTGTGAACTTGAAGCAGTATCCAATGTTCACAAGGTCTCATTCCATAGGAATTACTTTCTATTTTTCCCTCTTCATTAAAAGAAAACTTCAACAAAATGTTCTAACTGGCAACACTTTTTATGTAAAATCCTATTCAAATTTTTCTTTCTACCAGATTGGGTCATCCATGGTGTTCCTTTTGAAAACAGTTTTTAGACATGGACTTCAGGATAGTACAATAAGCCATTATTGTCTTCCCACCTATTTTTCACGAAGGTGCTGACAGGAGACTGCCTTTTCTAGAGAGATCTTCCTTGGTGTCTTGATCCTGTGGGTTTAGTTGTCCACAAGGCTCTTCTTTTATGATTTATTTATAAGTACCCTTGTTCAAGAGGCATGGTTTAGTATATACAACACATTACATTTCTGTTTTGGTGGTTTCCAGTGAAAAACAGAAAAGGCTCATTTTAATCAGCCGAAGCTTCTCAAAGCTGAGCTGTAAAGAATATCAATTGCTCAATGCAGGCCTTTCTTTCCTTCCCAGATGTTTGAAATTTCTCTTGGGAGCACATTTCCTTAAAGACTCACATCCTTCTTCAATTCTGGAAGATTCTCAGCTATTACAGCTTCAAATATTACTTCTCTACCATTTCCTCCATTCTCTTCTTCTGAAACCTCTCAAATACACTCGTAAATAAACCTCTAAATTCCAGGAAGGTATACTGTAGAGCCTGTGGTCAATTCTCCATTTCTCCTAATTGCTCATTTATATTTCTTATCTTTTTCTGTGAGTGTTGTGCATAGTAATATTCTCAGCATCATCTTCTAATTCCCTTGCCTTCTCTGACAGGGCAAAGTCTAGAATTTATCCTGTATATTGAGTTTAGTGACTTCAATGACTAGTTTTTTTTGGCAAAGATATCTTTTTTTCAGACATAGTTATATTTCATCCATCTCTGTTTCAGTTTCTTGTTATTTTAGTGAATGGTACCCCTTATTTATGCCTTTAAGCATCTTTTTATTTTTATTTTTATTTTTATTTTTATTTTTTGAGATAGAGGCTGGAGTGCAGTGGCATGATCTCAGCTCACTGCAACCACCGCCTCCCGGGTTCAAGCGACTCTCCTGCCTCAGCCTCTTGAGTAGCTGGGATTAGAGGTGCCTGCCACCATACCCAGCTAATTTTTGTGTTTTTAGTAGAGGCAGGGTTTCACCATGTTGGGCAGGCTGGTCTTGAACTCCTGACCTCAGGTGATCCACCCACCTCGGCCTCCCAAAGTGCTGGGATTACAGGTGTGAGCCACAGCACCTGGTCTAGGCATCTTAAATGTACTTAAAAATCTTTGTTGTACTAGTCTG